AAAAAAAACACACACAACAGATAAAACACACACACACACACATATTAGTTAAAACTTTGCAGCAGCCCAAAGACAAACGTTAGGAAAGGCGCTTTGCGGCATTAACCAGGCGGCACTTCGTGAATTTGTGCGCCCGTAAAAAGCAGAAGGCGGCTCTGTAAAAAAAAAAACAAATCAACCCAGGTAGAAGACGGTAAATGCGTGGGTAACGCTGCGTGGGAGTTGACCGGCCAGCTGCACGAAATTGGTTTACTTGAATGTAAATATTTAAATTGTAAGACTCAATTCCAATCTGCAATTATATTAATCGAGGTTTACATATGTAAGTGTATATCTGACTGGCTGACTGGCCAAAACTAACATTGCTGATAAGGCCATAACAACGAAAGCAATAAAGCCCAAAGGCAGCCAGCGCCAGTGTGACAGATAAAAATCCAGTGCCACTTCATACGCTGCGTATACGCAATATCGATTCGAGCAATCAACCGAGCGTGAGCTTGTGTATGTACCCTATTCCCTATTCCCTCTAAGGCTGCCTTTTTCCGTTTTTTTTTTATACATATATATATATATATTTTTTTTTGTTGCCCTGTCGTGCATTTTGTGTGATTTCTGTTGGCAGATAGCGTTTGACGTAAGAGCAACAGATTTTTTCGGCAACATGTACGGCAATTTTATTGGCCCACGCCCCCGAGGCGAACTGATGGAATTTTGCTGTTTATCTGCTGCGAGCTTCGGAAGCGAATCGTATGAGCATTCAACACAAATTTTCAATTAAATTTCCGTCTATATTTAAGTTTGGCAGAAAGGTTACCCATCATATTCGCAATTATCCTGGACGGGAATACAAAGGACACTCCATTGACTGTGCTGTCCTCAGCTGGACATTATTTATGGCATTTTAATTAACATTAAAAATAGATTTCCCAAAGTCTAATCTATCAATTAGTATACAAAAATAACTGCCTAATGACTGGCGCCTTTGGAATTAATAACTTTTTAATTCGCTGAACAAAATACATTAGCGAAAAATCGTTTTTCCATTGTTCATGCAAAAGTGTTATGAAAATCATTAAAATTAATAAATTAAGCAGAAATGAGAAGAAGAAGCGCACTTCACAGCATATCAGGCATCTGCTCGGAAAAGAAAATATTTGCCCACATTTATTTTATGACTGAAAGAGCAGGTTGAAGCTATCAAAATGCGTGGGCAACTAGGGAATACCCTGTAATCTGAATACTCCTGCTGTGCATCTTCTTTCTTTAACCTTGTGTGAGAAGGAGAATAGAGAGTAGAGAATAGAGAGTATTCTGCGAAACGAGCAGGGAAAATGAAAGAGAAATTATATTTGATCGACTTTGGGGAAACGAGTCGACTTTTTAAATCAACTTTTCTTGTGTACAACACAATATAAGAGATTCATGCAATCCGCTTTTTGCTTAATGCAAGTTTCGTGCATATTATCTTAATTTTTTAGCCAGTGAGCTCAATCACAAGCAGCTGACGCATAAGCCGCGAAAAGTTCTACCAAAACGCAGCGAGCTGTAAATAGAATTTGCCGCGCCCGTGCAAAATATGCATTATGCCAGTAAACCACCCACAGGTCTGCTTCAGCGTGAAGTGCTTACCACAGAAATCGCGTGAGAAGTACCAGGAATTTGTGGGATCAAGAAAAAAAGTAAGACATAGTTAGTAGAGTATACTCAACGACAAAATACTCTGTTTTACCCTTATTCAATATAATATTTTGGCATGCTGCCACGCAAATTTATTTTAAACTCAATTAGGATATTTAAACCCCTTTACCGCTGGCTCTATAAAAAACAATTATCTTATTAACACTAACTTAATGGAAACTTTCCCACAAATATGCTTACCTATTTCCAATATAATATTGTTTTACCATTTTTTGGGGCTTTGGGTATTTAAAAAAATAATTAAATAAAAAGTTGCAAATATATCTAGCTTTTATAGTTTTTACACTTAAAACATATTCTTATCGATATATTGGACGGATATCGGGAAAGTTATAAGTTCGTTTTGGTAAAGGAAAAGATACATTTCAAATTCCAAGGTCTCTGTATTTTGTCATTTCCTAGCGATCTGATACATACAGACCGACGGGCAGACCTCAACCGACTCAGCTCGTCACCCTAATCAAGAATTTATATATTTATGGTAGCCGAAGTGAACCCTTCTGCCTGTTACATACATTTGCACAAGAACCTCATACTCTCTACTCAATAATTCACTGCACTTTAAATAAGTGCAGGGTATAAAGAGATAACCCAAAAAAATAATGTGGGTTAAGTAATTAACAAATATTTGTTAGCAAATAATTAAAATTCAAGGGTTGAAGTGCTAATGTAAGCCAAAAAAAATATAATATATAAATATGGAGAACCAGAAAAAAATAGAATTCAGAGTTTTGGGAAATTATTTTTAATCATACAGAACTCTAATTTTCATATTATAGAGAAGTAGGTTGCAAATAAAAAGAGAAAGGGAGAAAGAGAGATACAGAGAAAGAGAGAGAGAGAGAGAGAGTTGACTAATGCTTCGCTCAGCTTCTTTATTAATGGAAACATAAAGGTCTCTTGATAACCTTCGTTGTTTAGATGATTAAAGAAGTAAATATTTAATGAGAAAAGATCGTAATAAGCACTTAAGCATTCGACTTTAGCGATGTATGATTTATGGATATCAAAATGTATGATGTATGAATCGTAAATCTTAGAATCGAAAATACATCCTCGATACTGAAAGCTTTGATATTGGTCATACTTTTGAGCGGTTGCGCTGAGCGAATGGATTGTCGACAGCTTTAACTATCGAAAAAATAATAAAACATTTCGGACTAAAGCAGACCTGTGCTGCTTTCAGTATTAATCAAAAACTAGATGAACATGTTGAATTCAAAAGAAATAAGCAAAGTATGTGAGATGCCATCAATCTTGAAATAAAAATTCAAATCTATCGAATAAATATATGAGTGGAGTGGGCTAGTTATTCTAATATACAAGCCAAGGACCTAGTCCAGAACTAGCACAACTATTCTTAATGCTCTTTCTGTTGAAAATTCGAAGAATTCGCAGCTATGATAAAAAAGGCTCCCAGAAAATGTCATTAAGAATGCCAGAGATGAACGATAAATACGGTTAGTAAATATCTTGTTGCTACATAAACTAGAGTGCTCTAGTAGGCTGTGCCCGACTAGAGGATACCCTAAAAAGTTTTCTTTGTATTTTTCGACCAATCTTGACCAAATTGTCAGTAGTAGACCCTATTTTGCCATAGCAGATGCGTAGATTCTCAATTATAGTCTCTAATATACTGTCAATCTCAGATTTGAAAGTGCGAAAGCTTCTTTCTTTAATATAAAAAAATTAAATAAATAATGTTAAGCAAAAAGACTAATAGCAAATTCAAATTAAGCTATATGCTAATTTTTTAATGATATTATTAATATACGAATTCGATTAGATTTGATCTAAGTTTGTGTTATTGGAAAACCCAGCTAACTAGAGTCTAAACTATCTTATTTTTATAAGCTGTTATGGCTTTGTCTTAAATTGAGCGAAAAACTAAAAATAACTCTTTCTTCCGAGGAACCAAAATTCGAGCAGTTCCAGGTGGCCTCGTCTGGCATAAAATGAAGACCAATTTGCAATTCGAGGCACAAAGGAATTCCCTTACGTGAACACTTCCCTTGAATTGGATTGTGCAACGTAATGACCTTGTTAAGGTGGCTGTCCTGCAATCAGAGCCAGACGATGCCAAGTTGCAGCTGCGTCTAACTATGGGTAATAAATGTTAGCAGGAGTAGGGCCAAGCAGAATGGCGTGTCTCAGGTAACTAGTCGGCGGAATGGGCCGCAGCAATGGCAACGCCGTGGACAAGTCCGGCCGTATTAACTTACACATAAATCAGCATTATATAAATAATGAAGAGCGTATAAACTAATTGGATTTGTCGCCTGCTTCATATTTCTTTATTGACGCAATTGCTGACCCTGATATGATGTTATTGACGGCCCGGCTACCTAATTAAGGCAACATGCCGGCCAATTAATTTTTGGCCAGAATAAGGCTGCAACTCAAGCTGTCAAGCTGTTGAGTTGTCGAGTTGTCGAGTTGTCGCTGCTGTTGCCACCAGCATATGCAACAAGTGGGCCAACCACAATAGCTGTCAGCAGCAGACGGCCAGCGAGATATCATTCAATTCCTGTGACTCATTGTGTACTATTTTTGGCGCTGTCAGCGCAAACAAATACCAAGAGCGGCATGTAAAAATGTTATATATATATATATATAATATGCTATTACATACAGTTACGTGCTGCAGTTGCTGGCCTTGTGCCCATTTGCCACATGCAACATGCAAAACGAAATGTTTGAAAAGTTGCGCCTAGGCGATATGCAACGAAAATTTGCCGCATGGCAGCCGGAAGTTGGCCAAAGCCGCAGCTCACTTTAGACTTTATAATGTTTTGTATGCCAGGCACGCGCCTATTTACACACATGCACACATGCAGACACACATGCACATGTACACATGCAGACACATGCACACCCACTTAAGAAGCCACAATTAAAAAGTAGCCCTTGAAGACTGCGTTATTGTTGTTGTTGTTGTTGTTGTTGTTATTGTTATGGTTGCTGCTGTTTGTCTCTTTTGGGCGGAAAACCTGCACAAGCCGTCGGAACATAGAATAATTGATTTTTCACAGCAAACGACGAACTGGCCTTTTTGTAATAAGTAAAGCGTACAGTGAAAGCTCGCTTGAGCAGCCATTTCTTAATGGAGCCAATATTTTCGACTCGTCTGTTTCTTGTACTCTATTTTTATGCTCTCTTTCTTAACTAATAATGGTTTTTTTCTAAGCCACAATTGAATATTTTACATTTTGTTTCTTATTTACATGCATAGTAAGTGAGTTTTTTTTTTTGTGTTTGTGTCAGTTAACGCGAGCATTCACTGTACTTGGCTTGTTACTTACCGGTCCCAGATTGTCGAAACCATACTTGTCGGCCACCTGGTGGGCGAAGTCATTGTCAACGCCCCGACGGAAGCGCACCAGAAATGAGCTGGTGAAGACGGCCTGATTACCCAGGCCGCCGGTGAGGCTGCTGGCAGCGGCGTCGGCCTCGCCGATCAGCAGCGGCAGCAGCATCGCCAGCACCAGCATCCCGATGCAGAGCAGTCGCCATGAAGCAGCAAAGCTCCATGCAGCTGCCGCAATGAACATTTCACGTGTTTCGCCTTCTTGTTGTTGTTGTTGTTGTTGTTAATTGTGTTTCTTTTCTTCTTTTTTTTTCTGCTATTTTTCTTTTGACTCTGTTTGCTGTTCAGTTCACAATTGCGACGATGGGGCAACGCTGGCGCCACAAATTCGTGCACACTCTTTTTGTTGGTTCAGTGGTGGAAACGGGGGCTTTCGAGGAGGAATGCCAAAAATAAAGGCCGCGCTTCACTGAGCACCAGCAAAATTCGTACGTTCAAAATCCTTCAAAGGCCGGCAACGCATAAAACTTGTCAGCCTTAACGTTGCTTGGACAAATTATTATATTCTTATTACTGGTCTCTTCTTACTGCATTTGTGCTTTATAAAATATGTTTTTGTCTGCGTTGTTTGGCTGCGATTTGCGGCTTGTTGTGCGCTGCCACGAACTTCACTTTGGCGTTGCGCGCTGAAAACTGTTTGCCTGCGTCGATTGTGGACGCCATTATGAATATACGAACGGCAAGGCAGCTAACGAAAGCATTTGCGAAAAGCTCGCCGAAAGCTTTGCCAGCGCCCACACCCCTTAACTGTTGGCGCCCACACAGAGTGCATTTCATTTGTCGCGCTAGTGCTGTGCTGCTCGCACGCCCAGCTGGCTGCTCCTTCAAGCTCTTTGTTCAGTTCAGCTTTGTTGTTGTTACTTTTGCAGCTTGGCTTGCGCCTTGTAGACGTCACCAATTTAGTTGACCCGCTGCTTCTGTTTTTTTTTTTTCTGTTATTCCTTGTATACCAATTCCGCTTGCTCCGCGCTAACTGTTGTCGCCTATTCTGTTTTGTTTTTTCTCTTTTGCTTGGCTTGTTGCTCGTCTGCGATTGGTTTATGCTGCGCATTGTCAACATATGGCAGCATACTTTATGTTCCAGATTCGTTGCATTTCACCAAAGGCAATACATACGCACGCACTCACATATATACGTTCATATGCCTACGCATGTATGTATGTATGTATGTATGGTCGTTTGAATTGGGTCTTAAGAGTATAATAGCTGAAAAGAGCTTCAACTTTGACCTTAGCCCCAATGAAATGGGCTACAGCCGAAAGCGCGCATTAAACCTTCTTTATTTATGATTGTGAGCTATCGTCCATAAGCTGCAGCTTGTGTCCCTTTAAAAGGCAGCCCTTTATTCACATTCATTTGGCCGTAATCTGCCGTTTAATGAGCCAATATATTTTATTATTTTTTCCAATATTTTATAGATTTATTTTGGCAATAATTAACCGTTTAATGGAAAGCGCTAAAAATATTTTATTATTTTTTCCCATATTTTATTATTAATAAATATTTATTTAATTTTAAGTCTCCCGTTTAATGAGTGAACAATTTTTTATTATTCTTGCCAATATTTTTTGCATTTATTTAAATAATAAATATTTGTAAAGTAAAACTTAAAATAACATTGTAAGGCTTAAATAACTATTCCATATCAGCTTAATAATAATTAAACTAAAATTTTAAGCTAATTTGTAAAACTCTTGGGAGCATTAGAGGTACATTTATAAAGGTTATTCATTAACTTAGCTAAGATATTATTTAGTTAGTTAATTCATAATAACCTTAAGTTCGACAACTAAACAATACATTTCCTTAATATAACTATTCAATGAAATTTGTATAAAGCTTGTTGGGACACACAATATTATCATATTATCATAAGCCGCATTGGGTCTTCATTAGACAATGCTCCGACGTCACAGGAAGGCGCTCGATATTAAATCTGGCGGTCTGTCGCTTTGTCCTGCGCAATTGTCGCAATCGAACCTCTCAAATCTTCAAAAGCTGAAACATATGGTCCGTGGCTCGAGGGCAATTGAGCAGCCGGCTTAAATTACAATTAAATTTTAATTGAGCTTAAATTCTAATTAAACAAGTATCTTAAGAGTAGATGGATTCAATTAACGTATACAATGTTCAATGCAATAACGAGGAACAAAGAGGCGAGCGAAACTTGGAGCACACCCAACTTTTTGCGCATCACATTCGGTACAGGTAGATGGGAAGCCGTTGGAACAATTTATTGTGGGCGTCGTGGCATTGTCTAAGGCCGCCTACCAAAAAGATTGCCTCTTGCTAAAAGTACATATAATTAAATATATAAATGAAATGGCAAATAGGGCAACATTTACCACTTGAGGTAGCGGGCGACAGGGCGTGGGTGCTGGCGTGACGTTTTATGCGTGGCGTATCGGACACTGGCAAGCCTGCATTGACGGAGGAGCAGGAGGAGGCAGAGTTGGTGCATCGCTTAGCTGTGGACGCACTGCAGCCAGCGCTGGCATCGCCGGCCGTTTTGCTCGGCATCGATTTGTAACGCTGCAGGGCGAGGCGCGGTTTCTTGGGATTTGTCGCCTCCAGCATGGCCTCGTCGAGGGCGAGAAACCAATCCTCTGTTTCGCTTTCATCCTCCAGAAACTTCATATAGAACGAGGACTGCTTCTCCTTGTGGCTCTTGTGATGACTGGTGGGCGTGGTGGCAGCCGGCGTCTTGTTTGGCGTCTGCGGGGGCGCCAACTTCGACTCCAGCTGCTGTGAGGCCTCAATCAGAAAGCAATCCGTATCGGAATCGTTAAGAAAATCTGCCAAGGCGGGATCCTCCGCTGCAGCTGCAGCTATTTCGGCATCAGCTGTCGCTGCCGGTGCCGCAGTCTGTTGATACAACAGCTGCCGGTGCAGCTTGTCGCAACGCTCCTTGAGCAGCTCATGGTCACGTATCTGTTGCGCCCGCCATTGTCTGCTTTCGAACTGTTTGCGCCTGTGCTCATTGGCTGCGTCTCGCACCTGTTTGCGTCGATCCTTCTGCTTGCACGCATTCGGCCCGAACTCTTCCGAATCAAAGCCGCTGTCCGAGGTGGTGTTGACCTTATCGCCACGCCCATTCTTATCGCAGTTCCAGCGCCAACTGACTTCCGGGCTGCCGCTGACCAATGTCTGAGAGAACAGGCAGCTGGGCGAGAGGCTGTTGCGCGGCGAGAAGTCCAGGCTGTCGTCCAGCGTGTGATTCTTTTTGCTGGGCGGCGTGCTCTCAACATTGTCGCCAATATTCACTGTTGAAGAGCCGGGCGAATCTCCATCATTTGCGGCTTCCTGTGATGCGCTGGCGCGAACGCGACTTTGAGGTGAGGCTGCATTTGATATTGAATTGTATTATAACTAAGCTGAGGAGCGCTGGAGCTTACCACTGTGTCGTTTCTGAAGTAGTCTGCTGCTGAGCGTAAGTGAGCGTCTTTTGTTTACAGTTGACGCGTTTTCCATTTAGTAATATTAATTTATTAATTTAAAACATTGAATGACTGCGTCGCAAAATGCGCTCAACTCAAGCCGTTTGGTATTTTTTGGTGCTAATTGGTTATCACAGAGTGGTATTAATATATCGATAGTCATATGTGTACACAGTTGATTTGACAAAGCTATCGATTTACTTGGCATTATTTTTATTTGTGTCTAAGGCCTACTCGGTTGCAACCACGCAGCTAATTTTTTTTATAATAAATTCATATTTATTGCTCATTAAGAAAACACGCACTAAATTGCATTTGATTAAGTGGTATTTTTCGCAAATTAACTTCATTTTGTATGTTAAGTGACAAATAACATCGCCAACAGAAGCTGACTGCTGCAGCATGGCAGGGCTGCACAGCAACAGTTCGATTTGAACTAAATACGTTAAACATTTGAATTGCATAAGAAATATGTACACATATTTACATTAATACATTTTATTAACAATATCTCATATATATGATTGATGCTTCATTTGATATAAACATACGCTTGAGTTAATGGCTGCAATATTTAACTAATTCACATAAATGCATATGCTCTGACTAAAGGAGACCATATTTACCGTAACACAGAAATAACGACATTTTAATGCTTAAAAATATATTAAATGCATGTTGAGTTAATAAACAAGTCCTAAGCTAAAGGTATTGTCCACCACAAAACTCACAAAAATCACTAAAAATGTTTAGCTCAACTACAATTAAAATTTTGCCGACTTACAAGCCCTTGTTGTACCACACTGTGTCCAGTTCGGGACGCTTCTTCTTGATGGAATCGCGCACCTCCGTCTCCAGGGAGTCCACCTTGATGGCCGCCCGCTGGCTGAAGAACGCACAGCCCAGGGGCGTGGCAAAGAGCAGAACAAAGCCACAGAAGAGCGTCTGAATCGGCGCATTGGCACGCGGATATCTCTTGAGAAAGCCGCGCTTCTCCAGCTTCTCCATCAGCAGAGGCGTCAAGGCTGTGCAACAGAGGAGGAGCAGAAGTATTTAGATAAGATTCAAGCACTCGCAGATTAACGTACTCATTCCGGGCATGGCCATGGCAATGCGACTGACCACCACGGCGGAGATGCCCACAAAGGCGGCCTTCTTGGAGATGCCAACCTCTTGGTTCTTCTCGTCCAGCAAACTGACCCCGTTGCGCAGCTCCCTGTGTAAAAAACAAGCTGTGATAGCTCCTAACTATCGCTTAGCTTCAAATCTCTACTCACTGCATACGCATGCAAGGAATGTTGATGCAATTGGCGGCTGCGACGGCGACCAGCGGCACCAGGCGCCCAATCAAAGGATTCATATTCTTCACCGCACGGTTCAGGCTGAGCGCCGTGCCCAGTGCGCCGCTCGTGGCCAGGCAGTAGGAGGTCAACAGTTGGCTGTCAAATAGATTAGAATATGGCTCAAGTTCGGGGTCACAGCGCAATCTCTCCCTGGACCTGGATGGGGGATAACTTACGATTGACTAATTGGAGATGTGCCCGAGCGATTCGTGTAGTTGACAATCGCGTTGAATGTTTGATTGAACCATTGCCAGAAGACGACCGCCGGCGTTGTTTTGTAGAAGGTCATCATGCCTAAATAGAAAAAAAAACAACAACAACAAAAAACAACAACAAATACATTAATAGTTGTTTATTAATCAACGCGCGGAAGCGAATTGTTGAAATTGTGCACAATCTTCAGGTCAGGCGAGGGGGGGAGGTCGTTAGATGGGCTGGGGAGGGTGGTATACTCAAGGTCTGGCGAGAGGGGGGGGGTTAGATGGGTTGAGGAGGGAGTGTACTCCGGATCAGAAGAGGTGTGGGGGAGGGGGCTGATTAGCAAGGGAAGGGGGCATACTCTAGATCAGGACAGGCGGAGGGGGCCCTTGGTTGGCTTAGAGTGTGGGTATATTCCATATGAGGCGAGAAAAGGGTCACTAGATGTATAAGGCAGGGGTTATACTCCAGAAAAGGAGAGGGGGGGCTGTTTAGATGGGATCACACTTACAGCCCGTGATAAGCATATTCATCGGCATCTGGGCGGACATGCGTCCAACGATGAGCTGCTTCTCGCCCGTCTCCGGATGAAATGCCGAATCGTACAGATACTTGGCCTTCCATATATCCTCCAGGGAACTGGCCTCGGGCACCTCCTTGCCGGCCCGATACTTGATGACAATTTGACGCGCCCTCTCCAGCTCCTCATTGGAGGCGAAGACGTTCAGTGGATTCGTGACCAGAATGAAGTGCTTGACACGCCCCAAATATGTGCTCTGATCATATTTGGGTCTATCAATATCTACACGGGGTATTGCAGCCATTTTTACCAAATATATTTCTGCCTTTTTTTTTTTTATTTTTTACTGTTACTGCTGCTGTCTGGAACTATTCACGTATAATTCTGTGGGCAGATAAGAAAAAAACATTTTTAAAAATTTAAAAATACAGCTGATTTGTTTGTTAATCAGAAAAAACAACAGTTGCTGTCCCGAACGCTTATCATTGGCCGCAATGACCCAGCCCCAAACTGTGCGCGAATCGCCTGCAAACAAGTTTCACACACACACACACACATGTATAGTATGTTTAAGCATTCCCCACGGCGATTATGCATTCAAAATAATAATAATATTTACTGCATTACATAATAACGCTAGTGCTATCATAAATTTGGGCACTATTGAAAAATCCATAAGTCTTATCGGGCGTTTGCCGGGTGCACAGCTGAGTTCAGCACAAACAAAAAAAGAAAAAAAAAAAGAATTCGTTCCAGACTCGTCAACTGGAGAAAAGGTTGCGACACACACACACACACGCATGGCAAGTTTGTGTGTGTGCGAGAGTGCGCGAGCATTTGAGTGCTTTACAAGCTTTCCACGCGGGCGCCACCTACAAACACACACACACATATGTACATGCAGGCACACGCTAACGTACCGACACGCACGTCCAAGCGCCGCACTTCCTAACACTTTGGCAGTGAACTTTCGACTAAATCGAGCAGCAAGCGCTCCAAACGCTGCTGCCGCTGCCAGCCGGCAGTTGGCCTCTAAACAGCTGCAGCTCCAGAGAGCTTTTTATGCCCTTGGGCCGGGTGTCACAGCTGTGGCATGCTGTATGTGACACGAATTTAACTGGTTTAGTCTAGCGATTGGCTGGCCAACAATAATAGCATAAAATTAATAATTGAAGAATCATTTTGTCATCATCTTCCTTACACACCTTCAAGCGTTTAGCTAAAGGGCATTTACTATTCGGCATGCTAAAAAGACTATCCATTCGTTCTTCTTTCGTTCTTTTGCTTTTGTATTTACCTTCCGTTTGCCTAAACTTTTTTGTGCTACGCAGTGTTGAATGCCGACGTCGACATATATGAGAGAGACAGAGAGAGAGAGAGAGAGAGAGCTTTGCTCTCTGCGCAGTCCATTAACAGTTAGGCTTTGCACATTTCTAAAGCTTTTAAGTCAGCCTGTTGTAGCCTTACCAATATTTGAATTAATTTCAAGTTGAATTACGCGCACCCATCATGTACGTCTGCGTGTGCGTGTGTGTGTGTGTGTGTGTATTTGTGTATGTAGGAGTAGATACTTATAATTCAATTAACATTTGCAGGGCTGCCTGTGTTTATTTTTCGATTCCTGCCATGTAAATCCCTTTTCCTTTTGATCAGACTTTCTCGTTACTGAGAAATGTATTTTATTTTTTTAAATTAATGTTTAATAAATTATTATTAATTATCTACCAATTGAAAACTCTTTTCGGTTGCGTGTGTATATTCATTTATTTTTTTTTTTAAATCCATTAATAGACTAAACATAACATCAACAGTTGTGTATATTAGCAATAGTTATCATGTTTCTTTCTTCGTTAATTTCCGATTGTTATTATTTATTAAATATTTGTCATATAATAAATAAATATGCATTATGCATATTTGAAGTATCTCTTAAATGTTTGCAAACAATTATAGTCATAGTTAACACAAATGATAGATATAAATACAATTATGTGTGTATGTGTATTAGCACTGATGACATTTATTGTACATTCTTGTAGGTATATGTATGTATGTATATGTATATACGTATGTACACATATACGATATAAAGCGTGTGTGACTGTTTGTAGGTATGTGAGTGTGTGTGTGTGTGTGTGTGTGTGTGTTAGTGAACTTTTTTTTCACTTCAATATAATGATGTAAAACTTTTAATATGCATACATCATTTAGTTAGTTTAATATTTGGACAAGAAAGTATCTTGTATACGAAATATAGGTATATTTGATTTTATTTGATTTAGTTGAAGATATTTAAAATAAATTGAATAAAACATTTCATAACTGGATAACGTTTCAACTGTTTGGTAAAATTGAAATTGAACAGCTAATTGAAATAGTTAATTGAAACATTTAACGTTCTGTCAACAACATTTTTAAGGATAGTTCTTGGCTTCTATGTCATTTTGATGTAAGTATGATGTAATAGCTATGTATGTATGTAAAATGCATCAACTAGCCTTTTGCTCTATTTACTCGAAACACTCGCAACTATTAACAGTTTTTTTTTTCAGATTAACATTGCACTCAGTATATTGTATATTTATGTAAGTATGTATGTCTGTATGTATATATGTATGTATGTATTGTATTCGTACTACGTATGTATATTTGTAGCTGGCATATTTCATTGAGTGGGGAAGAACATTGTACTTGAGGAATGCCTATAGAAGTATATTATAGTATTTATTAGTATATGTATGTCATGGCAGAAGGTATGTATGTGTGTATGTATGTAACATATATTTGTATGCAAGTGGGAGTTTACAATAGGCGATTGTTCGTACATTTATTGTTTTAATTCATATATATATATATTTGTTTTTAACTTTTTAGAGTTAGTTTTAGGGAAGTTTCCGTGATGGATCAGAGGAAATCAATTACTTGGATTTCAACTGAGCGCTCTCTGTGCCATGTATATTCATAGGTATATACACTAAGCATGGCATATGGCATATATATATATTGTATGTTTCTTAGTGTCTTGTATAAATATGTTTATGTAACTACATTGTGTTTTGAGCGCG